AGCCCTTGTCCTCCCCGTCGTCACCTCCCCCTCTGCTGTGGCCGGCGGCTGAGCCCTTCCCTCCCAAAGCGTTGGGTGGCTCATTATTTTCTTTCTCCCTAGGGGATGCGATATTCCTGCATTGGCGACGTGGTGCAGTGACAGGCAGGCTCCACTCGCTTTTCTCCTACAATGCTCGACGACAAAGTTAGAGGTGACTAGTCGCCGACGCAGGTGGTTGATTGGCATAGGCCGACATGGGTCTTGGCGCCTAATGCTGCGAAAGCTCCTTTGGTCGTCATCGATGGTGGAGTCAGAGTCGTTGCCTCACAGACGAGTGACTACGATTACACCAGATGACAATCTCGTCTCCTACACTACGCGTCTTTGAGGGCCTGCTGTTACGGTTTTTTATTGTTTTTTCGCTAATTAACTTGACAACTCTCTTCTTCCTCTTTAATTGAATGAAGGCCCTCCATGAGCCCGGGGCCGACTTCATCAAAAAAGAAAATAAGGTCGGAGAGTGGTCCACTGCTGGGGCCAAGCACTTGAGTTGCATCATGCCGTGAGAGTAAGCACTTGCTGTTTACACCGCCTTTGGGTTTTGTTACTTTCATGTCTAAACTTCTTTCTTAATCGATGAAAAAAGTGGCAAAGCTTTTGCCCTTGTTCTTTTTCACTATCATCTGAATTTTTCATGTTTAAGACAGAGAGAACAAGTACATTTGCAGCCCATTTGCATGCGATGTCGGTTGCGACGAAAACCTACCTGAGATCCAGATCTTGGCAGTGGAGCGGCTCAAATTACTTAAACAGCGGGCTAAGAGCAACTCTAACAGACCCCGCAGAAGTGGCAAACCCGCAAAATTCGGGCGTGTATACGGGCTCGGCCCAATTTTCTGGCCAGAACAGAGTCCGTATACTCGCCCGGCCCGTAAATTTTTTTACTGCGGCCCACAACCCCTTCCCCCCCTCCCGGACTAGTATATCTACGGGTTCGCGGCGCATTTGCTGGTCGAAACCCTATTCCCCCTCCGCCGCGTCTCTCCGCAATTCCCCACTCCACTCCTCACATTTCTCGCCGCCGGTGAGCCGCATTCCACCTCCAGCCGCCATGTGGGGCCGCATGTGGAGCTCCGGCAGCAGCTCCGGGAGTAGATTCAGCGGCGGTGACCCCGAGCGCGAGCGGTGTGTCCGCTCGGACGGACGAGGAAGCGCGGGGCGAGGAAGTGGACGAACCGGGGCCTCTCACCGCCGGCGAGCTTCTGTGTCCGCGAGACAGAGGTATACGACCGTCGGCACGGGCGTACGCCCTCCTCCGCCGCGGGCTCGTCCTCCAGCGTGAGATCTTCCCACGCCGCGAGATCTTCCTCTTCCGGCGCGAGCCTTCTCCTCGTGAAGAGAGAGTGGTCGGAGGAGCCGAAGGAGATCGAGGTCGTCGCCGTCAAGCAGGAGCCCAAGGAGATTGTGCACCACGGTGTCGTCGGGTCCGACGACTTCGTCGCCGATGATGACGCGGTCGCGGCCGTCATTGCCGAACGCAGCTTGCGCGAGGAGGCGGAGCGTCGGCGCC